CTTTCCCTCCCTTCCCCAAGACCAAAGACTGTAAATACTGTGTCGCCTGCCTCTTGTGTCCTGCTGGTCCCCTGTGCCCCAGCCTGGCCATCGGTCCTGGCATGGGATGCAGTGCGGGAGGGAGGGAAGGAGAAAAGCCTCCTGCTTCTCAGCTGGAACATGCCAGTGTGGTCAGGAGGTATCCCCAAAGGAGTCATAAGCAAGGGAAAGGGCTAAAGGATTAGGTATCTCCCCCCCAAAAAACACCCCTTCGTGCTTTCCCTTCCTGGCACTGGGGCACAGCCAGCCCTGCAGGAACCTGACTCCAGCTGCTGGTCTGGGAGGACGGAGCCTCTGGGTGACAGCAAAGCCTAAATGCTTGGTTTTCCAGGGGGTATGAAGGGCTATTGCCCAGTATTTCTTAGGATCAGCTTATACTGAGGGAGCTAAAGTGAAGTTGCTGGGGCTGGGTGGAAAGATACCTGTGTAGATTTAGGGTAACAAGCCAGGGAGTGTCTCTCTCCCTCATTCTTTTTTTCTAGATAGAAAAAAGCCCATCTAAAACCTGCACTCCCAAGCAGCTGCCCTCGTCCCTCCATTTTTGCTTGGGACTGGAGTGAGCAGCTGCTATTCAGCACATACTATTTTTTTTCTTTCTTTCTTTCTTTCTTTTTTTTTTTTTTTTTTTTTTATTAAGTAAATTACAGTCTATATCTTGCTTTGTAAAAGTCCTGACATGCATGCACCCCTCTGCCCACACACACATTTGTATAGATTAAAGCCAAGCAATTCCAGGCGCTCCAAGAGGTTTTGTGCTGGACATGCCGCTCTGAGGAGAGAGGTTTCTCTGCTGTTATTTCACCTGTTGATTTCTTTCTGTACAGAATGCACCAACGCTGAGAATAAATAACTTCCCTGTCGCCTAAGCAAGGAGATTTTATTATTTTTTCTTTTTTTTCTTTTTTTTTTAATCCCCCTTTCTCTTATGAAGTAGGTACCATTTTGCAGGGCAATTGCAAAAATACTGTCCTTACAGGAAAAGTCTTGGGCTTTCCCTAAATTAAATCAAGGGAGGGTGGGAAATCAAGCATCTTCTAATTTCTAGCAAATGGTTCTGAGTAGCACACAGCCTCCAGATCCCACGGGGTTAGGTTGAATAGGGTGGAGGAAGGGGGCTCTCTGGCAAGAGCCAGGTCTGGCTGGGAGCATGTTGTGCTTGCACCACGTGTGCCAGGCAGCAAAGCTGCCTGACCATGGCCTTCAGGGATGGGATCAGCCCCTGGTAACTGCTGGCAAACCCCAGAAACACCAAATGGTGCTAGAGAACAGCGTCCCTGCTGCTGATAACCCACTCCCATCCAGGCACTTTGTTCTGGATAAAGAAAAGCAAAAAAGCCCAATGGATTCTGGAGGAAGGGGAATGCTGGGATTCATTGCTTTTTTCCCCCTTCTTGGCCCTATATTTCAGATTCCAAGTGTGAAGGGTGCAGGTGGTCTCTGCAAGTTGAGCTCCTTGTGACTTTGAAGGGGTTTGGATGTGACAGTGGAGGAGACAGGGGAAGGGTCTCCTTTGGAAAGTCAAGGGTGGAGGTGTGTGCAGGGCAATGTGTATGAGAGGGAGCAAGAGTGCATGAGAGGGCAAGAAAAAATATCTGCATGCAAAGACAAGTAATTATAAAAATGATGCTACCTGTTTTCTGTTAACAGTCAAGGATGTTCTGCTTTTTCTTGTAAACTTTGCACACACTGACTGTCATCTGCAGTTTGTATTTTTTGGTTTGTTTAGGGATCAGGAAGTTTTCTTTTGTGTTTTTCTTTTTCTCTTTTGGAAAAGCTGAGCTGCATAAGGTTGGAATAAATTAAATGGGATGCCAGAAAACTGTCATCTTCCCCTCTCCCCACTCCCCTCTGTTCATAGGACACGTTTCGTTGCCTGATGCATCACACCCAAATCTCAGCTTTTGTCCAGGGGTTGTTGTAAACACTGGGGCCAACCAGAGGCAATGGGAGTTGTGCCTTTCATCGTTACTGGTCCTAGTTGTAGGAGCAGGGAGGAACTGATGTCACTCACCCGCTGGCCTGCCATGTTCCTGCTCCACATGTGGAACCTTGTAAGTCTGCAAAATGCAAGTGTGACCTCGAGTCCTCTCAAGTTGGCATCTGGTCTGCACATGTGTGAAGACCATCTCCCTGCCTGACAGCAGGTAAATATGGTGGAAAAGGGTGCTTGTATCCCGCTTTGCTGGGAAGAGAGGTCGGTAGTGAGGATGGCCTGTCTGACATGATGCTTGTGGAGCTCCCTGACCTGCCAAGAGGCTGTGTGAGAGCATTGGTTTCCTACTCCTTGAGGTGGGGAGCAGCTTTGCAAGGGAAGGTCTCTCCTACCCAGCGCAGGGACCTCAAGCACTTTGGCAGATGCTGGGGCGAAGGGAGCTTTGCTCTTTCCAGCTTGCCAGCCTTGGTGTTTCAGGGCCTTCTTGAGTTGCATTCAACTGTGCTGTTTATCAGCCAGCAGATGGACCTGTTCTCCATGAATCATGCAGGCTCCTTTAAGGATCTCATGATAGTTGTGGTCTCTGCACCCCATGCAGAGCTCCTTGGCTGAGCAGAGCACTGCAGGAAGAAATCCTCCATGGGGCATTCTCCAAGGCCTCTCCCCTTTGCCTCCTCAAAGAGAGCAAAATTTGAGCCAGCTAAAAAGTCAGCCTTAGTGTTTCCTTGTGAAATATTTGCCCAGAACAAGCTTCTGAGAAGGTACCAGGAGGCCAGGCTGTATGTGGGATCAGGGCTTGGCTGTGCTGCTCCATGGATGGGGCCATGGAGTCAGGTCCCTTGAAGGGACCTTCTCAGGGTGAGAGGTGCTGCCTGAGGGAGCATGATAGTACAGCACAGTGCTTGGGGTACCACAGGGAGGCCAACAACAATAATAATAAACCCTGAGGCATTCAATTCAAGTTGCAGCATTGAAGGAGAGGCCCCATGTGGCCTGACAGCCAGCAGCCAGGTGGCTGCGGTTTCCCTTTGGCCTCCCCAAAGGAAGGCAAAACCACTGGGCTGCTTCCCATCTGTTTTTTCCTATCCCATGCCAGTATGTTGAGTGGGACCAATGCTCGCTGAGGGGCTGGGCAGTTGTAGGGAGCATCAGGAAATGTAGGGAGACAGGAGACAGCAAGTGTATAGGGCTCCATGGGAAGGGAGAGGACAGGTAGGATGGGGGGGTGGGATTGGAGCTGGAGAACATGAGAAAAGGAGCAAAGTTAACATAATGTGCCCTTGGGGGGAGCTGAAGGTGGCTCAGGAGATGGTGAGGTGGGGGATACCAAGTAGCACCGTAGGCATGACAGTGCTCCTAGCCAGGGGCTGCCCAGGGAGGGCTGGGGATGTCAGAGGTGCCCAAGCCCAGAGTCCAGCCATGACTGGGCCACCCTCAGGTTCAAGAATTGGAGGGAAATGGAAGCCCTCAGCACAGCAAAGGGAGCTTGCAGCTGGCCTGGCACCTTGCATAGGGGTAGAGGAACAGCAATAAGGTGAGGGGAGCAAGTAGCTTCTGATTATAGAATCACAGAATCATAGAATGGTTTGGGTTAGAAGGAACCTTAAAAGATCATCTAGCTCTAACCCCCCTGCATGGGCAGGGACACCTCCCACTAGATCAGGTTGCTCAAGGCCTCAACCAACCCGGTCTTGAAGACCTGCAGGAAGGGGGCATCCACAACTTCCCTGGGCAACCTGTTTGGTTGCAACATGGCCTTGAAGGCTACATGTGTGTGTGCATGGGTTTGATGGATGTCACTGCATGGGACCTGGCCCAGGGGCTTCATCTGGGCTGGCTTTGTGCCTCCTGGGTTCTGAGTAATCAGGTGGGACCTCAGCAGCTGAGTGTAGGGTAGCAGCCAAAACCTCAGCAGCTCTGGTGTACACACACAGAACTATCTACAGTGGCAAAATACTTCTTCAGTATAGCAGAAAAATGTTGCACTCGTACAATATAAACAATAATATTTAATACAAAGAATTTAATTAGTGTAAGACTGTATGACTGTATCTACGTATAGCTATATAGCTATATACACCCATATAGTATAACCTGTAAGTAAGAGCACAATTTACTAGTTGGGAAGGTGGGGAAAAGCACCCTAACTTTGGTGTGGTAACTTCTTTTCAGTGCCTGTGAGGCTGAATGCAGAAACGATGCCCCTTGCCCAGCTTGTGCAGGCCCTGCAGGTGGGCTCAGCATCCCACCTGCTGCAGTCTGCAGCATCATGTGTCTCCTGAGCCATGGGGTGCCTGGGTGTTGGAGGCTTTGAGGGGTGGCATGGGGAGGCAGCAGGGGTGCAGACCTCCCTTCCCAACTTGCTTGGCAGATGGAGGGCAAGGGGGTTCAGGAGGCAGAAAGTAAGAGGGTGTGCAGGAGGATGAAGAGTGATGATGGGTGGGTAGCTCAGGCATTGGGGAGGACACACTTGGGGGGGGGGGCAGATCAGGCACTGGGGAGGACAGTAGGAGGGGCTACCATGAGGTGTCTGAAGCCTGTGGTGTGGCTGGGCAGCCCAGGGATGGCAGGATGCTCCTGCCCATGGGGGCAAATCTCCTTGCTACCCAGAGAAGTCTGAGACTCATTATGTCTGATCCCAAACTGTGGGGCTCAGTTTGGGGTACCAGCTGCAGGCTCAGCATTGCCAGCAGCCAGGCTCTCTCCCTCCCATAACCTGGCTGAACACAGTTGCTGTACCCCACTCCATGCACAGAAATTGCTAAAAAATCCCAAATAAATAGGGCAGCTCTGCTTTAAGAATGCTCTAACCTCAAGCTTGTGATCTTACCTCTGCCTTAGCATATTGCTCCAGTATCAAAAATTCTCCTAAACCATTGTCTCCACGTTACCCTGTGCCCTGTACCTCCCCCAGCACCCCTATGGATCTGACTGAACCCCCCAGGAGTATAGGGTGACAGGTCAGGGGATGCTTGGGGCCAGAGCAGCTCACTTGCAGGCCCCAGCATGCAGATGCTCCATGAGGGTCAGGCACAAGCTAACTGAATGCATAACTTTATTAAATAAATGCTTTGTCATGAGAAAAGACAAAGATCAAAGAGTAACATAAATTATAAGTTGAATAAATAGTATACAGCAATCTTCACTTTTTAATAAAATGTGAGATTTTTTTTTTTTAAGTACAAAATGCTAAACAGAGCATTAAGCTCTTCTTCCATTGTCAGTTTTTCACAAACTGCTTTTTTTTTTTTTTTCCCACCAGTAAGATTATGAGTATTTCTTGTTTACTGGAAAAAAAAAAAAAAACCACAACAAAAAAACAAAACAAAATGAAACAACAGAGCTACCGTATGTATGTAAAGCTATAAAAAGCTACCGTAAAAATGTGTAGTGAGTATTGCTTAAAGATAAAAACCAGGCAGGAAACTCGGAATCTGGTGTGTTTTTAACAACTGTGTTACAACGGTGGGTAACCATGACGTCTGTCCCAGTGGCAGTGGTAGAGGGGCTGGTGGGGCTGGGGAGGGGGCACAGTAGGCAGGGCTCCTAGCCAGGGCCAGGACAGGTCTGGAAGCAAAGTGAACTGTCAGTCCTTAAATATACAATGCTCCGTTTGGGAAAAAAAAAAAATCATGAAAAATCAACGACAACAACAACAACAGAAAAAAAAACACAACCCCAACAATGAAAAGTAAGTTTTCATGGGGAAGGGGGAGAAAAAGAGACGGGGGGAAGAGAGAGCAAAGAAATAGTGCAAAATGCTCTTGTACTAGTGGTTTTCGAAGTCCACTGCAGTACAGACAAGGGGTAGCCCAGCCACTGAGAGCTGCTCCCTGGGGAGATCTGGTGGAAGGGCCATCCTGATCCCTGTGCCATCCTTGTCCTCTCCTTCCCAGCCAGCACCCTGGGCACCTGCGCTGCCTTGGTGCAAACACCGTGGCCAGAGACCTCCTGAACCTGACACCTCCCCCTGAGGCACAAATTGTCAGCACTTCCCCATGTGCCTCTTGGTTTTCTCACCCCAAACACAAAGGGGTGCCACTGGGCACTGAGACTGGGAACACCTCATCACTGTTGCCCTGGGTAGGGGGCAACCCCTCCTGAATTCACTCTTGCCCTCTGCCTGACCCAGGCTCCAGCCCTGGTCCAAAACATTAGTGCAGCCTGCAAACAGCCTCTTCCTGCCAGGGATCCTCAAGGAAGAGGGTAGCCAGGAGGTTGCTTGGTGCCCTGTCCTGGGAGCCAAGGTGGCTTGGGAGGGTGTGGGTGGTGCAACCCCCTCCTTGCATCCTCCTTTCTCTAGGTTGATGGGAACAGTAGACGGGACGTGCATGGAGGAGAGAAGCTGTGTAGGATGGATTTTGGTGCTGTGGGCTCCCAGGGTCACGGCTGAGACTTCCTTTGTAGGGAGGGGCCAGGGATGTCCTGTGTCCCCCTCCCATTGTCACCATAGTGGCCATGTCATGACACCACCACCAGGCCCTGTGAGCTGACCATCAAGCTGCAAAAAAGCATCAGCCCCAAAAAGGCAAGGTCCATGGGGAGCCGCCATCCCTCTGCCCACTTCCATCCTGTCCTGGAGGCACATCTCCTTTCTATGCAGCCAAAGGCTTTCAAGTTTTGGGAAATCAAACAACAACAAAAAACAAACAAATGAACAAAAAAGAAAAAAAAAGAAAGAAAAAGGGTAAGAAAAGGAGAGAAGGGTCCTGGGGAAGGTGGTACTGGCCTATAACAGTCAGGAGGTTTTGCACAGGGATCAGCGAGCAGGGGAGATGGGAGACTGTGGCAACAATAGAAACCTGTGGCGCTTGGAGTTTGCACAGGCTCCTTCTCCACCTGCCTTCTCAATCCCATTATTCACCCCACTTTCACTGCACCATTAACCCACCACCCTGGTCAAATCGACCCTGCCCCATCAGTCCTGCAGAGCCCAGAGGGGTCCCTCTCCTGGTCCCAGCACCCACCGTGCTCCCCTCCAGCTACATGGGGGGTCATCGTTGTCTTGCAGGGTTTTTTTTAGGGGTAGATCTGCATTTGGTGGCACCCCCTTCTTTTTATCAAGGGAAGATGCCTCACCCCCAGATCCAAACATGCCTCACCAGGTCTCTGTGGAAGTCCATCAGCAAAATTTGCCCCTGCTGTAACTCCAGTGGAAATGCAGGGCATCCAGTTCTCCTCTTGAGTGGGGCAAGTATCCTGGTGGGTGGGGCTGCAGGGTGCTCCGGAGACTGATGCCATGCCATGGGGAGGCCACAAGGTTCCCAGTCAATGATGGAGAGGAGCCTCTGCTAGAGCTCCTCAGTTTCAAATACTCATTGTCCAATCCCTCCTGGCAGGGACCTGGTGGCACTGTGGAATCCCTCTCCTTTCTGCCCAGCTCCAGCATGCTCAAAGGGCCTTTGGGGGTGCAGAAACTTTCCCCTGAGAGTGGCTGTGTCCTTAGGGCAATGCCAGCTGCCAGCTCCAGCTGTGGCAGTGAGATATGGTCCCTGGTGGGTGCATGTTTGACCACTGGGATTGCAGCACCCAGACCTCACAGCTTGCTTTCCTTTCCTTCCTTCCCTTTGCTGCAGTATCTCCTCTGAGCACCAACATCTTGGAGACCCTTGTCATAGGGAAACAAGAAGCAACAGTCCCAAAATTGAACATAAAAATTAAAAATAACAAAAAGTCAGGAAGGCAGCTGAGGGCTGTCCCGGCACACCTGAGGCAGTGGGTCTCCACGGAGTGGTGGCTGATGTCACTCAACAAGGAGCTGGATCCCATATTAAAGCCAAGGGCCCATTGCAGGACCATACTGTAAGGTGGCAGGAATCAGCCATGGCAACATGAGCAGTATCCTCAATGGGAAAGGATGGAGACTGGTATTTTCCTACCCATGGGAAAGCTATAAACCAGCCTTAACAAAAATCCAAGACAAAGTGTAGGTTTGTTTTGTTTTCCCCTGGAGCAAACCACTTTTTTGGCTGTGGAAAAAAATAATAAAATAAAAAATATCCATAGTTGTTCTTCCTCGTGGCAGCAAAGGGTGGTGAAGAGTTTTGGCCCCGATCCCCCTGTCCCCACACAGTGATGCTTCAGTCTGGACAGGAATGGAGTATCTGTGGGCTCGGCTCGGACGCAGCCCTTGGTGTTGGCGGGGCCCTGATCCCACAGGCGCCAATGCTCCTTCATAACCCCGCACCTGTGCTTAGGCTGACAGGTCATTATCATTGGTTTTTGGGGAGGCAGAATCTCTTCCCCTGCTTACAGTTAAGCCCTCCAGATTGCAGGTTTCCAAGGAAAGTTTTGCAAGGAGGAAAAGCCGTGTCTGTGCACGTACACACTCGCAGATGTGCAGGCAGGTGACAAACGCTTGCACATCTGGATGGACCAATGGTCAGTGTCCCGCTTGGCCAAAAGATTTCTGACCTCCCATTCAAGAGGAAGCAGACAGAGAAGGTTATCTTTCCTTTTTGGATTATTTCTCTTTGAAATCCACAAATGTTTCTGGGGGAAGTATTCATGCTGTTGCAGGGGCTGTGTTTTTCTCCCGGGCTCATCTCCAGACATGAAACCAGCAGTCCTGACGTGTCGAAATCTGCCTGGATCCGGGGTGGTCGTTTGAGGCTGAAGTCAAATCAGATCAACTCGAGTGAGTCCCAGCAATGTGGGAAGGAAACTCCAGAGGACTGCAGCGAGGAGAGGGAGTGCTGGTGGCCACAAGGTTTTCTCTTGAGACCCTTTAGAAAACAACTAACTAACTTGAAAAACAAACAAACAAAAAATTAACCTGCCCGAAACCCGCACTGGAAAATCACCAACTCAGAGAGCTTTCTACATCAGGGTGGCCTCTGCTCGTGGCAGGGGAATGCAGGCAGCACTGGGGAGGGGCATGGGAAGGTGCGGGATGGCGGAGCGGCCATGGCTGGCTTGTCTCTGGCTCTGTCCTTTCCTTGCTGAGTCCTTGTTGTCAAGAGGCTGCTGTAGATTCCGAGTCCTCAGTTTCTTCAGGGTTTGTTTTTCACTTTTCTTTTCTTTTCTTTTCTTTTCTTTTCTTTTCTTTTCTTTTCTTTTCTTTTCTTTTCTTTTCTTTTCTTTTCTTTTCTTTTCTTTTCTTTTCTTTTCTCTCTTTTGGCTTTTCCTTTCTTTACTTCTTTCTTTCCCTTTCTCTTTTTTTTTTCCTTTTCCTTCCTTTCTCTTTTTTCTTTTCCTTTCTTTTTTTCTTCTTACATGAGATGAAAGGAATCGGAGTCCCGGGGCACGGGGAGGTGCAGAGGGGAGGGTGGAAGGGAGCCTGGGTAGGTAGTGATGGGGTGGAGGGAGGGGATGTGACTTCACTCCACGTTGCTGCTGTCGAACGCGTGGCACTGCAGGTCTCCACTAAGGTAGTCAGTCCCCGGCAGCTTCATGCCATATTTGTCCACACACCAACACAACCCACGCTTCCGGCCTCGGGAGGGCTTGCACTGGGGAGACACACAAGGGCAGAGATCAGGAGATGTCCACCAGCTACCCTATGGGTTCCCTGCACTGTGCTTTGCTCCTTTCACCCCAGCAATGCAGTTCCCTGGGTAGGACCTAGCTCCTGCTCTCTGCTTTCAGCACATCCCCATCCCCACTGCCATGCCAGCCTGGTGCTTGCTGACTTTTCCTCATCCCTCACCACCTCCTTCAGGATGCTCATTTCAGGCCAGACAGCACTTGGAGCCATCAGCAAGGCCACCCACCACCAAACATGCCTTGAGATGCTCGCAGCAACCACCCACCAGCCCAGGAGAGGAAAAACCTCCATTGTTTCCATTCAGGGCAGCAGCAGACAAAACCCTCCCTGCATGGTAAGCCCTCCATGAGGCTCTTACTTGCTTCCTCTTGTAAAAGCCCTTTCGGTCGCAGTTGGGGAGGTGGACAGCACGGGGAACCATCCGCTGGCTGCTCTTGAGCTCCTGCAGGGACGCCTCCATGTGCCTGCGGCAGGGGCCCTACCAGTGGCAAGAAGATGGAGTGTGAGAAGAGGAGCCCCCTGCAGCAAGCCCCCATCTGCCAATGCCTCCAGGTCCCCTGCCACCCCCACCAGCACTTGCTCCCCAGTGGGGGAAAAACCCTCCCACAGCCCCCCGCCCACCCAAGGCAGCCCCAAGGCAGGAAGGCAAAGGCACCCACCAGCTCAAACTCCTGCCGGAGCTCAGGGATGACGATGCGGGGGTGGGCTGTGTTCTCTGCCATGCCCACAAACTTGGCCAGGGTCAGCTTCTTCCGGCGGTCCTTCTTCAGGGCCTCAGCTTTCAGCTCGGAGAGGCGCCCGGGCTTGGGGCGGTAGGCCTTGGGAGGATAGGTCTCCTCTGTCATCTCTGATGTGGTTGGCTCCTCGTGTTCTCGGGACTCCCGTTCTGGAAGGGAACGGATACCAAACCATCAGGTCTCCATGAACTGACTGGGGCTTGCTTTGGCACAGAGAGCCTCCTGCCCAACCCCAGAGGGCATCTTTGCACCAGGCAGGATAGGAACATCTGATCAAAGAAATCCCTTTCCCAGCTGTTGCCTACAGCCCCAGCTTTATCCCACTGTATGGGACTTGGCATGGTTTTTGTGTGATCCCTAGGCTCAGGACAGGAGGGTGAGAAGGCTTTGGGGAGCAGGACTGGCTCCAACATACAAGGTCACTATCGTCTGCAGTGTGCCAATGGAGAAGGACTGGTGGGAGGGTTATCCCACACCCAGAAAGGAACCACGTGGCACACAAAATGTGGCAGAGGAGCCCCTGTTTAGCCATGGCAAGAGGATTAAGTGACAAATTCACACCTCACCCCACAGTGCAGATGCAAGAGCACAAGCCAGGTATGCTTGAAGATGAGACAACTACAAAGTCAAAGTCAATCACACAGCAAAGCCAACAAAGCCACCATGTGATTGCGCAGGCAGTGATACCAAAGATGTGGCTCACAAGTGCTGGAATCTCCAGGGTCCTCAGCATGCAGCCCCATGTTCATGGGAGCAAACCAGGCCCTGTCTGCTGGCAGGCACTGAGCAGCCAGCAAAGCCCAGGGTAACACTGCCAAGTGGTGCCACCTGACAGCAGCTGCCACCAATGGTACCAATGTCAGGAAGGAGTGCACTGAGGTTCTGCCCCTGTGCACCCCCCCAGATCACCCCAGCATGACCTGTGCCTGCAGGATGGAGTCAGGAGCCCTGCACAGTTATATATAGGAGAGCTGGTGACAGTCTAAACTTAGATGACTTGTGACATTTAGTACAGCCACAGGAGTGAAAAAGGGTTATTCCTGTACTAAATTAGAATGGAGTGAAAAGCTCCTGAGGTTCCCAGTCTCCCAGTCCCTGGTTCCCAGCAGCCCTGTGCTGTCACCAGGTTTGTGCTGGGCAGGAAGGTAAGCACAGGGGAACCCACAACACCACGAGGAGAAGTACCAGGACAGCTGAAACCTCTCCTGCGTGGTGTCTCCTGAGAATTCGGTGCCAGTGAACCCGGCTCATTCCCTCCTGTAATCCCTGCAGGACTCAAAGTCCCCCACAGGTCACAGCTCCTCTATCATACGGAGAGGACAGACAAGGGATAGGGAAGGGATGGATTAAATTGGGAAAGATCTTGTCTCTGAGAAAATGACATTGTACAAGGTGCATAGTAGAAGCACATCCTTTGCCACAAAGATGTTGCAGCAATCTGAGGTCGGAAAGCAGACCAGGGACATTGGCAGTGACTAAGCCCTTCCGTGGCAATGGAACACGCTGTGGTCTGTCCCAGGAATCCCCTTTGGCACTGACTGCCAGGTCTGGACAAGGAAGAGCCAGGGCATCTCCCTGGGCTGCCGTATGGTAATTAAGGGGAGTGGAGAATTCACACTCATGCAGGCAACCCTACAACAACACAAGAGGGGCACAGCTCATTACCTCTGCAATAACAAGTATGAGAGGCACAGCTACCTGAGCAAACCTAAAATAACAAACAAATAGGACAAGGCAGTGATGTTTCAGTTAGTCCCTGGGACTGACCGTGCAATGGGTGTTTGCAGCAGCTCAGCCTGCTCATACTGATCAGCAGCTTTAGCCCCTGCAAACACCTTATTTCTCTGCTTCCTGCAAGCTGCCAGCAAGCCAGAATAGACTGGGGGCTGGACACTAAGGTGGAACCTTTTAGCAAGGGGAGATGGGAGTCACAGGGGCCCAGTGCTTGGCAGAGGGAGCTGAGGGCTGGCGTGCACCAAAAGCTGCCCAGCTCCCAGTCCAAGTCTAGCTCTTCTTGCAGAGCTGAAAAAACACCTGGAACTGACCTCCTTTGCCCTGCCTTGGCATACATGGCTCCCCCCACAAGTAGCGACAAGGAGTGGCTGTGGTGGGACTCCTCCATCTACAGTTCAGCAGTGCTGCCTAGTTGGGGTCTTCATTTCCTAGTGAGAGCTCCATGGACGCCTTAGAGGGATCTCTTTCCTCCACCCTCTGATGTTTTTTATAGCCTGATTTCCTTCAGCAACAAGGCTGAGGCAGCCCCTGCTCATGCACCCAGTGAGTATCTGTTCCCTAACTTGGTACTAACAAGCCAATTTTGACAAACTGAAAGGCAGAGGTCTCTCATTCTGCTGACAAGCTCTGGGGAGCTGGTGAGGGATCTTCCCGGTGCCAACAGGAGAGGGAAAGGCAGAGCCAGGGCAGGCAGCACACAACCTCCTGGTTGGCTCATCCACATCAATCTGCAGCTGCACACTGCAGCTGGGACCAGATCCTCACCTCAGCATCTCCAGAGACAGTGAATCTCCTGCCCATCCTCACGCACCAACTCATTTGTTAACTCCAGCAGAAGCAATGCCAAATTTCCCTGAATGAGCCCTAATTGCACCTGTCTGAGACTCAGGAAGGAGGCTGGAGTGCCTCCTCCCTTGCTGTCAGGACCTGGCCCTCTGCACAGCCCCTTGCTGCCTGCTCCCATCTGCTTTGCCAGCCCCAGGGTTTCAGGCAGGCAGCAGCTGCTTGCAGAGGCAGAGCGTGCTCCATCTCCGTGTTTCAGCTGTGGGCAGGAAGGTCCTACTCACTGTGTCCCCCAGCTGGGGGCTCTCACATGTCCATCCCTTCTCCCTTCTCTTCAAGAGGTGACATCTCAACTGATGTCTCTGGCCTGCTGGCCACATGGAACAGTGACATTGCTGGTTGAGCCAAGGCTGCTCGGCTAGCTTGGAGGTGATGTTGAACCTACAGCCAAGGCCAGAGGAACAACTCAGCTCAGAGCCACTCCATGGTTTCAGGTCTTGTGTGATGCTGCAGTGCACAGGGAAGACCCATAGAAAGAGGGGTTAGCATCTGGAGATGCTCCTGACACAGGTCAGGCCAGAAGGACTGCTGTTTAGGTCCTAATCTACACGGGCTCCCAGAAGCCCTTGGAGTCAGAATATACCCATAGCAGAGCACGGGATGTCCTCTGCCCCAGCACTGAGGGCATAGTGCCCTCTTCCCACTCCAAACTGGCCAGAGGGATCTCTGCAGCAGAAGCTATTTCGAACTCTTTCACTCTGCCCCTACAGAAGGGACATGAAGTAGCAAAATACCAAGCAGTTTCTGGGAAGCAGCAAATTTATCCTGCCTGGCTGCCTGCTGTCCTCAATCAATACCACCTTCCCTTGCCTGGGCCAAAACACAGCCTGGGTGTTTCTGCACTTCAGACGTTTTGGACACGTGTGCGGTCCCCACAGGGTGGGTGGGTGTGTTCACACGTGGGCGCAGGGTGTGTGGGAACATCTCCTCCCTGCCTGCTGACATTACAGAGGAGAGCAGGAAGCTTGTTCCAAATGGCTAGAAGGCTCATATTTTCATAACACATTTCCATTGGTTTCTGGCAGGAAGGTAGGAAAAGTATCTATTGACCACTGCTCCTAATGATCCATGCATGTTACATCCATAGCCCACTGCTAGAGGACTTTCTGTTCTGTTCAATAATCCCCCAAAACCCACATGCTCCTAAGAAGGACAAGCAGAACCATAGCACAACCTTGCTAAACAGCTCTCTTGATTACTGTAACGATTATTGTTATTTATAGCATGAGCACTAACATAATACACCACTTAAGCACAAAGGTCTTGGAAAAGGACTTAACGAGGATCTCGGTTAAACCTCTAGCATAGGAACAACAGCAAATGTCACTGGTGGAGACCTTGAGAAGTTGCCCAGTGCTCCTTCTGCCCCAAACCAGGCCACCTCTGCTCAGAGGTGCTCATTGCAAGATGGAAATTAGGGCTTGTATTACCCAGGGCTGAAACATTGCTGGTTATGGACCAGCATCTCCCACTGAGCAGCACCGTGCAATGGTGTGCAATGCCTCTGCTCTCCACTGGAGGAAGACTTACCCCCAGGATGGAACCCACCTCCCTGTATGCTCATGAAAGGACTATCATCAGCTGCAGGGCTTCACAAGTGACTCCCTGCTTTTCCAACAGGCTCCTTGTGATTTTGGGCCCTGGTGGCAGCTGTCTTTGGAGGACTTCAGTTTCTGTCCCATCACTGCTTACACATGGTGTTTTCCAAACCTGGCTGGGTGACCTCTGATACTTTGGCTTTTTGCGGAAAGGTACAAAATTTTGGGCTAGGTGGACAAGTTCCTTCCCAGCCTGGACTTGGCACCTGTGACCATGACAGGAAAATAAAAGTCCTTCCCTCCTGATCAGCACACAAGGACAGGCACTGTGTTTGCATCCTTGAGATGCAAACACAGGCAAGGAAGGGATGCAGAGTGAGAAGGGTCACTTCATCTCGCGCCCTTTGGCAGCTGGAGAGCACAACAGAGCAAAAGCATTCCTGAGCTCCCCAGAGGCCACTGGGATCAGCCCAGACAGGAGGGAGCTTTCACTGCCCTAGTGCAGAACAGCTCGTTTACGTTCCCATCGCAGGCACACCCCCCAGCAAATGACCCCCAGCCCAGTGCACAGCCCCACAGGGGTGGGCAGTGAAGCTGGCTCAGGCGCTGTGCCTGGGGCTGGGGTCACTGCTCCCGACCACCGCCCTGGTGAAGTCAGGCTGTGATCTCAGGCAGCCGCCCAGGCCAAGGCCGTCTGGCACCCACCAAAGGAGGAGCAGCCAGGGCTGGGGATGCAGGCTCCGGCCAGTCCCTCTGCTAGCCCAGGGCGTTGGCTGTCGGGGAGCCAGCTGCAATGTGCCTTGGACTTTCGACGAACTTTTGTGCTTTGGTGGGGTCTCAGCAGCAGCGCAGTGCGGGCGGTCTGGTGGGGGCTGGCGAGACAGCATGCTGGTGATGCTGGCTGGCAGTGAGAGACTGGGAGGGGACACCGCACACCGAGAAGGACAGAAAAACAGCAGTCCTGCTTGAACTGACACCCCATCTCCCCCAGGTTCCAGCAGCATGCACTGGCATTTACAATAAAGCCTC